AAATTAGGTGTCTATTTACTTGTGACCACGCTGTGTACATTAGTTTTACAAATTAATAACAGCTTCTCAGCATTACAGTTTGGAATAAGAACATATTTTAGTCTATGTATAGCCATGATACCTTTACAACAAAGATCCCTACCTATATTACTTTTGTTTCCATTCCTATTTGATTCATTTTTATTATAACAGCTTATTCCTTGTAATATTTTATTCTCTAGCAATTAATCATTTACTGCTGTCATAATTAGCTGAATGTTCATAAAAGTGGTTTATAAAACAAGGTTAATAAATTACAGCAGCTAAATTAAACCCAGTCATAACATAACTTTTCCAGAGCCATTGCTACTTCTTTTTTTTGTTTTTTTTTCAGTTAAGATAAATTCCTATTGAAAATACTTGGTATGAATGAAGAATTTTTAGAAAATCTTTAGTCAATGAAGAACTTAGTACAATCAATACAAGTGTATATAGTTAAAAATATTTTTTAAAATTACTTAATATATAACTTTTGTGTTTTCAAATCTGATACCAATTTATTTAAAAAAAATAGTCATACACTTAAACTACCTTAACACCACTGAAGTAATATGATGTATCTTAATACTGAAGTAACTAAATACTTGAATAAATTATTGAATCAACATGAATCACCATACCTCTTTCTATCTTTCATAGCACTTTCCTTAGCATCTTTAAGAGCTGATTCCAGACACTTGATCCTCTCCATTGTTGCACGGAATCGTTTCTCCAACTTAGGTAATTCACATCGTAAATCAGCATTATCACGTACCAGCTAAACAATAAAATGTGCACAAGGTTTTGAAAATTTTTAAGTTTCTTAGGTTAATTTACAACAATTAGCGGAAATGTTATATTTTAATTTAGTAATTACATAACCATTTGAAAAGAGAAACTAAGGATTGCTATTTTAATAGATATAATAGAAAACAAGAGAATATAATCAGCACTGTTAGCTTTTGTAAACAATGCTACATATAAAGTAAGCACATACACTATACCACTAAGATAAAGAGAGAAAAAAGTGTTTTTTTATAGTGCAAGTGTGAAAGAGTAACTGAACATAAAACACTGATAATATTCTGAGGCATTAAGCCTTTTTAACACTTTGGCACAACATGTGTGAAGTATATTACTGACATAACTACATAAAATGTTTGTATGGGAAATAAAACTTTTTAACCCACTGGGCATAATTAATAGAGCTTGTGTGTACTTCATGTTACAAATTACTATTTTACAAGTAAGTGGCTGTTGTCTTGCTTGCATTGCACAGTTACATGAGAGTGAAAAGTATAATGGCAATTGGTTTGGAGACTGGTTTAAACTGAGAGTAAGATTAAAAACACCAACTAAAAATGTTCCTTTAATTTACTTTATGTTACATTTTCCAAACATTTAACTTTATATTGTTACTTCATACACAAAAGAAATAAAATTTACTGAAAAGTAATAACTATTAACTATTCATTCTAATACTGACATAGAAATATGAGCTCACAACATTTATTTTGGTGACTACATCTCTCCACAAATAGAAAAAGTAAAAATACAAAATAAATAATTATTTACACAAATAAAAAAAAAGATGGAAGTTATATGTGATGCACATTTCCATAAACAAAGAACGGAATTTCTGTTTATGTGCATGTCATAATAAATAATAGATTACTCAAGTAGCAGTTAGGAGTCATTCTACAGCTATTGCAGGTAGCTGTGATGACATCACACTCCCTTCAATTCTAGTTAAAACACTAACATTTTTGTGGACTGTTTACATAGCACACTTAATTTTGTGTAGTTGTTATATACAACACATTGTACACTATCAAGTGTTCTATTAATAAACACATTATGATCTACTCTCGTGTAAGTTGCTGTAATTAATATACATTTCTATTTTTACAAGAATATATATGAAAGAGAATTCAACATCATTAATATTGGAATCTTTGATTTGTGCACCACACTTGGATCCTTCACAGCAGACATGACCACCTAACACATATTAGAGACACTGTTGTATAGATACTAAAATGACTAAAGCCTCTAACAAATTTTACTGAAATAAAATTTAAAGGTGTATTACATTACTTCTGCTATCCTGTAACATGGCTTAACTGAAAGAGCACAGGATTGGTCATTTGGAGAAGTAATGTTGACTATAATTCTGAATTTACAAAGTGTATCATCATGAAATGTGGCAAGCTTTTAGTTAACATTAAAAGTCTGTTGTACACAAGAAATAAGATGTGTTACTAAGATTCTGTAGTAAAGATATATCTGTGAAATGGCAATATCAGTCTGACTCTAACAAGATGGAGTTCACGTGAATAATAAAAGTACTTTTGTCTATCATACAGTTTGTAAATTGTACTTGCATAACTTATACAAACTCCTAAATGCCTATCTTAAAGTTTTTTTTGAGACTCCTGTATACTGCATCTTGTATTTACTCCACTCTAACATGAACTATTGCAAGATCAGCAATGTAAGGACATGAAATATTGATAACTCTGGCATCAAATGCCATGTTCAAAGACACACTGTATAAAATCAGGACATGCACACTTTGCCTGAAATCTGTGTACATAGGGTTAACCTTCCTCACCTGCTTGTGAACTTTGGTCAGTTGGTCTAGATTGTTTTCCAGAAACACAATCTTCTGTTTCTGTGAAAGGCTGCCACCAGTATCTTCACTCTCATCTTCAGCAGCAGACTTTTTCACACGACTCTGCAGGTCTTGAACAAATAACTTTCGCAGATTGTGAAGTGTCTGAAGTTCCTTGGCCTAATAAAATATATAGTTACTACAATTGCAGAAATATAACATGGGATTTTATATGATTAATCATCTTAGTATGAAAATCTTCATCACTTATAAATTTTACACTCCAAAAGTAATACAATATGTTAATTGATACCATTTTTTTCAAATCCACTAGAAATATTCCACTTACAGAAAAACACATATTAGCAATAACGATATACAAATCATGTTGATTTTTTTACTTTTCCAATGTATATGACATTTTATCACTTAATAAAAACTGAAAACACTTTTACCTAACAAAAGATGTAGCTCAGGTTCATAGAACCTTCATCTCGAATCCCTCTCAACTGTATGCCTCATGCAAAAATTTGAAATCTTTAATATTTTGTTTATTTGATAATTTGTATATAATTATGAAACACAGCCAAGTATAGAAAGCAATTAATTTACTCCTGTTCATGACCTAAATGGAACACTAAATATTTTTCTGCTTTTACAACACAATGTTGTACTCATCCATACATAGTTTTTTAGGTGCTTAATAACTTAAATATGCTTCATAACATAACACCCAATATCCTAAGTGTGTAGTTAGTAAGCATGCCGCAAGTACAAACTATCCTAAGCCAGAGTAAGTCAAATTAAAGCCTGAGCTTACTAACTCATAATATGTTATTTGGAAGCACTGTGCAATCAATACTACAATCATACATAAAAATAACAAAACATTCCCAGTTTGCCCCTGAAGAAGAAAGGTCCACCTTTCAAAAGCACTCGTGTTATAGGGTTTTTATCATTTTGTATCAAGACTTCTTGAACCTACATATTTTTCTGACATCATGAATTTCTAATCACAAACAAGTTACTGGTAAAGTAATAAATGCAGAATGTTAAAGAGATGTTATTCTTCATTGATAAATTAGACCTTTTGCTGGTACAAGAAGCCCTGCGTCTTTATTTCTTGATAATAATGCCAAATGTGTTATGTACAGATAGTCAATCAGCCTCTTCAACAACAAAGACCAAATGGCTAGAGCTGCTACCATGCTCTCCTGACCTGAAGCCTGATAGTCTGAATGGATCAGAAGATGTACTGCAGCAAGTTTGGACTAGTATACTACAATACCACCTATCTCAAATCTCTAATTTTATCAATGCTATGACATTGTGTAGAATTACAGGCTCAAGAAAGCAGTACATGCTATTACACTTGTCATTTTGTTGTTATACATTAAGCATTAGGATATATGCCATCCTATTGATTACGTGTGATGTTTCTTAATATAAAGGGTACTTAAGGTGGTTTTCTATTGTACACATTTGTCTGTTTTTTTAAGGTATAATAGAATCTCAAAACACCATATTTCCTACATTCCTCTCTCAAAACAACATGTTCCATAATATTTCCATAATTAAAGAAACAAAAAACAATATTCTAGTCAATTCAAAATATATTATCTGAAACTACATACTACAGTCTCTTCCAATCCCTTCAAATCTTGACGAGCCTGTTCCCGACGATCATTTAATAAGCTGGAAATGAAGATAAATAATACTTAAATTAGATGTAAAAATAACAGTGCAATGCAGAAGAAGATGATACAGATACATATCAATCTATTTTGGAACATCAGGTAAAACAAAAAACATTTCCTAGAAAAAATACTTGTATCATAATGGTCATGAAATCCAAAGTAACTGTCACTTTTTCTATTTACATTAAAATACTTTGACATTGAATATTGACAATAAAACTAATCTTATTATTAAAACTGCAAACAAAAACTGTTGGATTACTTTAAACACCTTTGTTTATTAATTCTAACACAAAATTAAAGTGAACTAGTTACATTATAAGCAATCTCAATAGTCTTTGTTGTCATTCCAATAATTTTGAGCTTGTTTACCTTTGTAATTTTTAAACTGTAACAAAAATTAAATTCAGTTTTAAAATTATGATGCAAAATCTTATAAAACCTGTAGAAATCATAAAATAAATGCAGGAAAAATAAAATCCAGTAACTAGCCACGATAAAGTGTTACATATTACAAAATTTAGATTCATCCTTAGGGCATGTCAAGATTGACAGTTAAGCTTAATGTTGGAGATTTTGTACATAGTTAGAAATTAGAAATTATGTCAAATAAATGAGAGTATAAAATTCAATTCACCAAAGAATTATCTACTGTCAAAAATACATTTGCTGTTACTTGAATGGATAAAAAATATTTAAAAATACTAAAAACTAGGGATGCACAGGTATTCAAATTTAGCCAAATACTGCATCAAGCTACACAGCCACTAAGCTTTGCGCGGGGCCCGGATTTTTAACTGGGACCATGTTCTAGCCCCCCCCCCCCCAAAAAAAATAAACAACATACACAAAAATTAGAAACAAAAACAAAATTGACGTTTATTACATTTAACCAAATAATCACCAAGAGAACATTACAGTTTTACTTTCAACTTTCAAAATTAACTAACAAAAATGTGCACACCAGTTTGCAGAATGCCTGTGTATTTTTGGAATTTCTTTAAATTGTACTTCAGGAACAATAGCATTTCGGCATTTTCGAGTAAAAGCCTTAACCTTTCGTGTGTGATAATGTTGTTACTGGCGCTAAAAGCCCATTCGCTGTCTACGCTGGTCAGAAGTGCGGAGAGATAATACCTTGGCCATCGTGGGAAATCAAGCTTCATTTGACTCCCAAAAGTGGGGCCAGTGAAAGTAAATGCAGAAATAGTGATGTTGACATGTTTTAGAATTATTATTCCAATTAATGCCTAGCCCCAACTTCTCAAACCCTAACTAACCCCTATTGTTTTCAAAACTCCCACCTTCCCCAGATATCTACTTCTCAAGCCATGCCTGTTATTAACCTCTTTTGTTCTCTGAATCCCCAACTTTCAGCAGACGGTCAGTCTTTGTTGCTCAGAACAAATTTTTTTAATTAAACCAATTACTGACTGTACCTTTCAGTAACACATAAGCTGCAGCAAAGATTAGGGCTTATATGCCATTTTCAATTACCCAGATTTGGCTGTTTTTAACTTTGACAGTATTACCGGGGCAACCCAATAACCAGCCAAGACCAATTATCTGGCTGTGTACCTGTGCATCCCTACTAAAAACAAAAATCATGTGTAGATAGTAATGTGTTCCCAACAGAAATAAATAAAAAAAAAACATTTATTTTTTATAAGAAAATTATTACGTGAGTTCCTGAAGTTTCTGGCTTTTTTCTTGTTCTTCCAGTTTCATCTTCTCATAGTCTTTCTGTAATCTTTCCTGTGCTAATGACAATTTCTGATTTATGCTGTGACAAATAAGTAACAAAGATTAAGGAATTGGTATAGGTAATAGGCAACAAATCAGGTATGCATTTTCGCTACCCTAGAACAATCTAAAGTACAAATGTACAAATAAAATACATTTACTATTAAAATTTCAACATTTCTTAAGGTAACAAAACCTGAGTTATCCAAACCATGTTGTTATTCAACAAGAAAAAAAAAGAGTTCAAATATTGAGTAATTAGATTTCTTCCATAGTCATGTCTAAAATACACATTAAATTTAATTATTATAATGATTTACATGTAGCAGATAAAGTTTATATAACAAATTTTCTTCAGTCATAAAATATTTTTTGTTTGGTTGTTAGGTAAGTTTAATTATTATAATGATTTAAATGCAGCAGATAAAGTTTATATAACAAATTTTCTTCAGTCGTAAAAGATTTTTTGTTTGGTTGTTAAGTACATTACAATGGACTTATCTGCAGTGTCCAACATAATGAATCAAACCCCAGATTTAGCATTATAAACCCTTAAGGTTACCACCAACCTAGTGCGGTATATACTTAACATCTAGTTTCTTTTGAACATAAATGAAACAAAATTAATTTTTCTATCCATATTCAAAATCCTATTAAGTATTTCCATTTCCTTTTTCCATATGTCTGGCACCTTTTAAAACTGTTAGTATTTAACTTTCATTGAATATATCTAAATTTCCCATCAAAATTCCAAATCTGAATGTAGTTACAGAAAATTTAATGATACTTACTCTTTAAGTTCATCTATTTGTTCTTGTTTCCCTGACAATTCATTTCTTAGTGTTGATAGCTGTTTCTGGTGGGCATCTCTATGTTTTTCTATCTGCTGTTCCAATGCTGATTTTATCTTTTCTGCATTATCTTTCTCTTTTTCCTTCTCTTTTGAGGTCATGATATGCATTTCATCTGAAAACACAAGTTTTTATTCCAAAATTATAATATTGAATATGGCACTTTGATACAACGTCAGAAACTGTTATACCAAATACATGTTTTCTAGAAAGATATTTCATATACGAAATAAATCTAACTGAAGTTATATTCTAAAAATATATGTTTCACATAGGACTGACAGTAGATATACATGGCACAGAAGTTTTACAGAATAGCTTAGTGGTATAAACTTCACAAATTGTAATAACGAATAAGCAATTTAAGCCTAATGGAGCAATAAGCACAACACTGATATAATAAATAACTAAACACTGCTTAAAAACTTATGTAAGATATCAGATAATTTTTGAAGTTGATCTTCCATTAGAAAATATCTGATATGTACATTGTATTACGAGTTGTTGAGTTCATGCTGGTAGAATGCACTAAGATGCACAGGATTTTTTACAAAAAATAGTTAGCCTAGTTTATTGTCCATAACTCAAAAGCTGATCATGAGAAAGCTATAATATTTTTTAGATGAGGTAATGAGATGATGGGAGAGGCAATTCCAATTTTAAAAACAGTTCTTCAGGAAGTATTATAGTGTAATTTGCATACTGGTAACTGTATAAAAACATCATCAAACACATCAGGATATATTGTGCCATTAGAAATTACTCCTGGCATTTTACCTCTAAACATTAGAATTGTTCTTGTAATACATCACTACTGAAACAGTAAAACTCTGCTGAAGCAATGAGGTAATAATGAAATGAAAACAGCAAATAAAGAAGATCAATTAACAATAATGCTTATGAAAGGCTTACAAACACACTTGAACAAAGAGAATTAACTGTTGATGTAACTTTGAACACATTTCATTCCTACACTTTAAAGACGGGGACTTTTGAAAGAAACAATCTTCATGCAAAATGGGAATCCAACCCTTCTTACTGGAATATAATTTGAAGGACTGAATAATCAGAACACATTTTATGTACACATAATACCAGCACAGTCTCTAAATCTCACTCTTCTATACTTTTGTCTAAGGGGCTAACTCAAGTTTTTGATTAGGCATGACGTGCCCATCACCTTGGCAGACCTGAAAGATATCATACACCAATTAAACGGCAACTGTTGGAAGTCAAACACTGTCATTCAGTTGTGTATCCTGTTCTCTCACAAATCAAAGCAATAATGGACATAACTGGTGTCATGAAAACAGTGATTAGTGCCCTCAAGTGATAATTATTTTTGTCATCGAAGTTGTCTTTCCCATTGTCTCATTTATCCTACATTATAGCCTTCTGTTGATTAATTTTACACATTGTATACATAGGAATAGGTCAAATAACTTCATAATATCCGTGTGATAATTCAGTGTTAGTAATTTTTATTAAAGTTATCTGCTGTAGGCAAGAATAATAATAACTGTTATGGTGTGAATGCATTTTCTAAGCTGGAAAAGCATAATTATAATTAATTATACCTGTGATAAGACATTAATGTTAGGCCTATTACATTTTTTAACACTACATCCTTTTTCAGTATTTAGGGAATTTCAATAATAATAGTAATAATGAGAGCAGAGTATAATAGTATTTTAACCATAATACATCTGCCACACTTGTTGCCGATAAAGCAAATCATACCACAGGTGCATCGAATTCATGCACTCTGGCTTTTGAGAAACAGAAAATTAGAGGACAAATGTGTTTGCTATAGTCTAACATGATTTATTGTAATTCCCAACTTACTTAAACAAATTTTACCAAAATTCCATCAGTAATTCTGATTTTCACTACAGAGACTTGATTCTTAAAGTAACAAGTAATGGTTAAAGACAAAATTATTCACATTGCTCTTGGAAAGATAGTTTTGTTCATATAAAAAATAATTTACAGAAATTAGAATTTTCATTTGGTTTAGTTGACGTTAAGCACAAAATTACACAATGGGGTATTGAAACCCAAATTTTAGCATCATAAGCCTGCAGACTTACTGCTAAGTCATTGGGGGGGAGGCAAAAATTACATCTTTTAAAGAAATTAAAAACTAAGATGAAATGAACTGTTAATCAGATTTTTCTTAATTCACAAAACTATAGTGTGTTTTCAATAGATATAAATTATACATAAAAACTATAGAAAACATTAGTTTTATAAAAGAAATACGAATTTTAGTAGATAGTATGGATACAACATATAATTCCACTTTTCTTTACTTAAAAATTGCTGTGTAAACCTTACCAGCTGCTTTCAACTTAGCACATTCTTCATTCAGTTGGTCTATAACTTCCTCTAGTGTCCTCCTTTTATTTTCTGTATCCCGCATAGATTCTTGAAGAGTCTTCACTTTTGCCTCATACTAAATTGGTAAAAATACTCATTACTAATGTTCACATATCATTTAAAGAATCTTAGTCTCTCAAATGATATTTCTCTATGCATTTTAAATGAGTTAAACTTAAGATAGTTTGAAATGTTTAACTTTTGTATGCAATCACCAAAAACTTATTATCTATGTATTTTTCACAGATGACTAAGGCAGAGTCTTCATAATGAAAAAACAAAGGTAAAATCGACAGCAACTGCCAAGTTTGATTTGACACCGGCGGAGAGTCTTGGAAGGCTAATCTACAAGAATAGTACAGATAGAAAAAGTAGCACAGATGTGCTAGTTTGGTAGACTAGTCCTCCATGACTTTCTCCACAAGTGTCACACCAAATAAGGCAGTTGTTGCCCAATTCACCTTGTTTGTTCATCTTCAATTATATATGTATGTGTGTTTAAATGTATGAAAGAGAGTGACATGCACCATTTCAAACACATTGATGTCCACAAATAATTTCTTATCACCTAATCACAAGTATATTTTATTCCATAGGTCATTGTTAATTACACATATAATCCTCTACATTAACATAGAAGTTATAATTTTCCTTTACTGAAAATGTATTTCCGATATGTACTTACCTCCTATCACACAAATAGCTATACCGACATCCACATGGGGGTAGGATGAGGATCATATCGGTAGCAAGTTAACTACAATTCCAAACCCATCCATCTGGTGGAGGTTGGAAAGAGGATCATACCACCTTTACCCCAAGTTCATAAGACTGGAGGGAATCTTGTACCTCCAGATTCATAAATGGCACATGTTGTTTTATAACAATGTGAGAAATTGAACGAGCCCAACATCCGGCATCGAAAAGATGTCTGCGTAATGTAAACGATCTCACTCAAATATATAATGACAGGAACTGCACCAAGCACAGGAACATCCTCAGAATAATAATCATCGAGGAGTAGTGGAAGGGGAAGAACCATGACTCACTACATGGATGGAGTAACAAGTGTAGAAATGAGTGAATAAATAGACATCTGTAATACATGTGAGGACTTATGTTAGTTGGTTCAACTTTAAATCCAAAACCCAGCCACTGGGAACTAACATCCACGTAGGGGTAAAATGAGAGATCCCAATCGAATGGGGGGGGGGAAATGCAATTTTGATGGTTCACTCCCATGTTACATAGTGGAGACTATCTCGTCATCTACACCAGCAGAACACCTCTGCCCTACTCTCAACTGAATGATTTTATAACCATTTATATATATTATGTGTATTTCCTTATTACATTCAGGAGGATGCTTCCATGGTCCTCCACACCAGCGGCTTGGAACTGGAAAGTGGTAAGGACTCTCAAACTCCACTAGAAGAAAGGGGGAGGGAAGCACAGTGGATAGTCCAGAGAAACGACAACACCTGAGACAGCACAATGGGTAACCAGAAAACCCTATTTTGACAAGCAGACCATACCAATTTTTTCAATACAAGGCATGGAAGGGATGGGCAGCTATCTCCTTCTGCTTTACCACTGTACTCCATGGGTGAATACAGTCTGGGACAGGCAAAGTTATGAAGCAAACCTACAGCAAGGATAAACGTACAAGTGATCTTGTGGAACACCCCATCTTCGCAGTGTGTGTTGCGTGGTCATGGAATTATAAATGTTAAGTCATCATGGCTTTACAGTGCAGTTTTTACTAGCTTAAGTATACCTGGACAGAACTGGACCGTAAGAAAAAAAAGAAGAGAGAGCGAGATCCCTGAAAATAAGAGGTATATATACTAAAATGTAACTCACCCAGTCACAATCTCATGAAAGAGTGAAGGATGGCAACTGGTGGATGATAGTCCCCGACAAGGAAGAAACAGCTACCCAAAGTAGAGAATGGGTGATGAACGTATAAGGAGTAGTTCCAGTGCTCGACAGACAAAGTACCTCCAATGGATGACAGTTTCGATATACAGGGAAAAGGGAAGGTACAAGATCTGATTGAAGACATGAGGATTTGATGATAGAAAGAAGGATACAAGAAATAAAAAACAATCAAATCACATTCCAAACTCAATAGGTCAGGAAGGAAGGAAAAAAAATCATAGACAAAGCAGCAGAGTAAGGGAAGGAGATGGATTCAATGAGAAAACATTGAAGCAACCCAAAGTACGTACTGGACTAACAAGGTCATCTGGAACTAATCAAGAAGAAATGTGGAAGATGGTAAGAAATGGAAAAGTCGAAAAGAATATAACATATGAGCCACAAAATGGTGGTAAATAAGAATGATCCAGAACGAATGAAATAATCGAGCCAAAACAGCAAAGAAATCCAGGATTGTGCCAGCCAGGAAGTCAATTAGAAAGATCTGAATGGGAGTGACATGGATGAATATACATTTTGGAAAAAAAACTGATGGAAGGAGAAAAACTAAAGTGAAAAACTGGATGTAATCCTGTCTGAACATATCTACAGCCAGGAGATGATGAACTAGAGACCAAAAACAAAAGAGGGAATTACTTGGAAATTGATAAAAAATTTCATGTGGAGAGTACCCCATAGGAGGTAGAGCCTCTTTTGAGAATTTAGATGTCTCTTCTTGGAAGAAAATTTGATTGGACTGGAAATGCAATGAGCAACAAGGTCAAAAACCTGGAACATGACCCTCCAGGAGATGCATGAGAAGTGAGTGGTTTCAAAAGCCTCCTACAGATCAAATTACATCTCCAACCAATGGAGATGAGCATCAGGGAAGAGAAACAATCCAGAAGAGGAGGAGAAAGTGGGAAACACGACATCGTAGGGGATATGCACATATACCAACTCCTTCTATCATAGAAGAAGAGGGAAGGAAGAAAATTAAGAGGAAAATTAATGGATGGTCCCAATAGAGGGGTGCATATAAATATCCACCACAAAGAGATGAGAATGTGATGTATGGAACAGGAGAAACACATCAAACTGGAAAATCCTGACTGTGGAAGGAGTATATGAGTATGTGAAGACTACCCCTCCCTGAAATGCAGAAATAGCAAACCTAAAATAATGTCCTAAAAAATGAAAAATAATAATGCATACTTTGGGCATACCCTGACATAGAGAAATAGCAAACCCAAATGTAATAAAAGCCTACATATGAAAACGGAGAAGAGCCGATAAGTGATTGAGGTGGGAGAGATTGATCCAGGACCCCAAACAGCATCAAGCATACAAGATGAATGGAGAAAATCCATAGGTAGGACAGGTAAAGGATGGAAAATTGCTGGACAAGTAAAATAATAAGGATGACAATACCTCGGAATGAAACAAAAAAAAATTGAATATAGCATTGCAGATACCCCAAATGATGCTAAATGTACAGGAGGAGCCCCCCAAAAAATGGAACAGTGGAGAAAAAGATCTGACTGTAAGTCCTTATTAGCAGTGGATGGGAAACAAACAGCAGTGTCCCACCCAAGAAATTCCAAAAGAAAAGAAGCCACGTGCAGAGGTAAATAATGGAAGATGGCAAATTCACCAACATGGAGGGAAGGAGGAGGAGGAGATATCCCACAAAAATCCCTAAATATAGGTGGTACACCTAAGAAAGAAATTGGAAGGTAATCCTGTAGGAGAGTAGATAGGGTAAAATGAAGCTGAAAAACTAGGTAGGGAAGAAAATGGAAAGGATTAACAGAGATCCAAAGGACATAAAACCAAGAAGTAAACCTGCCTGATGGTAAGCTAAGGAAAAAATGATTAAAGCCTGTATATGGCAAGGCATCCAAGTACCCAATCTCAAAAGAGACAAAAATATCATCAAGAAATAATGTCAGGAGAAAGAAATATAACTGTGAAACATGTCTGAAACAAAAAAAACCGGACCATCTGAAATGGGTTCAGCCATTATAGGAAGAAGGCAAGTAAAATTGGGAGCAGGTATGGTGGAACCCAGACCACAAGGGTCCACAGAAACGAAATTAAGAGGAAGATGAATAAAGTATAAATTAAACAAAATGAATGGTAAGAAATTAACAGACAATTGTTGAGCCCAAGCTAACAAGATATTTAATTTAATTAGCAATAATCCTCAAGTAGAACTACAAGTAAACTGAAAATAACAGACATGTGTTAATCCCAATCATACAGTGCAAGACAAAGGATATCACTAAGCTTTAAAATAAAAATCCTAACATAACAATAAGTATAATAATGAAAATAAAATAAATGGGAATTCATAAAATGAAATAAGTGTGTATGAACAATAACCTATGTATAAGATGTGATATATGATTAATATTCCAGTTAGATGAATTACAGGTAATCCTAAAATAACATAGACCCCTGGTATCAGTGATATAGGAGAAAGAATACAACTAAGCCTAATTTCTAACCTGAACTGGACTATGAGTATCAACTAAAGTAATGAAACTTGTACCATGAAACTCAAATAACTACAGATAATAATATTAAAAGTATTCAAAAACCATAACAATATAGCATCTTATCCTTCCAAAGTCAGCAGACTGTATGTCAAAATGTGTGGGCTCCCAAACTCGAAGTGAGGCCCGACAAATATCAGCTCCTTGGACAATCAATCTCCCGATGAAATAAAGCTAAGAATCTTCCCGTGGAGTACCCTGACCTGAAGCCAGTGCAAATGTGCGAACAGAACATACAATCTCCGAAGTGGTAACATAGAATTCATAATGCAGAATGTATAACCAAACACAACTGTGCTGGTAGAAACAATGAAAAAGTTTTTGTAATGAAGTAATAAGTTCCATAACCAGGTAGAAATATAAAATAATTCCACTTCAAAATAACTCAACAAGTTACGAATATCACTATTGTATAATAAAGAGTAAACTTGTTGGGAGAAATTAATACAAAAATATGGGGCAAAATTAAAATAAAACACTAAAGAGAGCACAAACTAAATGTTAGAACATGAGTATTGCAAAAGGAGAAGTGATAGTTTGGTAGAATCGAATAGAGGGAGTCACATGCATCAAGGGAGTAGGTCACACTCTTATTTGTGGAAGATTGTCACATGACAATTTGCATGCGAGACCCATTAGAATCAGATATTTCCAGATGTGGGAGATTCAAGGCTTGTGGCATGCACAATTTTTTTTTGCATATAGAGGGCAGCACTAAACAAGAATAGCTATTTATGTGAGATAAGGTAATGTACCACATCAGAATTTTAATTATCTTATTTTACATTGTTATCTATAAATGAGCAAGTATCTAGAACTTTAAGGAAATGACAAGTGCTCATAAACAAATATTTAGATTTATGTCTCTGCTGAAAAATTCTGTATGGAATCTTTGAAACGTATTTCAAGCTGCCAATGCTTTTAATTCTAAGTCCACTGTTTTCCCCAAAAAATTGTAAAATAATTTCCCATACACTGGACAATACACTCAGTAATTCCTCAATGTTATAAAATTACAAAGAAAAGTAGCAGTTGAATAGTACTTCACAATCATCTTAGAAGATCATTAGGTTTCAATAAAGGTCAGATCACAAAAGGTAAAAAAAACAACAAAAAACATCACATTATAAGTACACAAATATATATATTGAACAATTTGTACATGTAAACGCAGTGACATGTCACCACAAATGCGACCCATGAAGACATATGGAACATGTTTATAGAACCTAAATTGCAACTGATCTATGTAAATATTGTTTTGAAAGTAAACAACCACATAGACAGGAGGGTCTGTGGAAAGCAAGCAAGAAGTGTGGTTTAAGACTAGCCTTTCCATCCTTCACAAAATCTTATTGGAATGGAAATAGCAGAATCGAGCAATTGATTTTGCCATCTCATAAAGAAGCTTGTTATAGTAAATACTGTGATGTTGGGCATGTTATGCATTTAAGCATAGCCATAATGTTTAGCATAAACACTGATGAAGCAGAGAAACTGAAACATTATTCTTATACAGTGCAATTAACCTCAGTAATTAGCAAAAAACAACAACTTCAATACATGTGTGTGTGTGTGTGTGTGTGTGTCTGTTCCTTATATGTTTCCACATTTCTTGATCAATCAGCACCAAACTTAACACAGTGATACAGGATGACATGAGGGGGTTGGACCCCCATCTAATTTCATATTGATAGAATTCTTGAAAACAGTATGCCTTTCTTTTCACTATTGATACCTTTATGTATTTTTATTGCACTTTTAATGTTTATTATGTTATGAAAAAAATTAGAAGCACAATTCCCTATCCTTTGTTTCAAATGTCTTTTTATTTCACCTGTCCAACGGACGGGTATTCCAGCTAGTATCCATTATTTACACTAACTTTATACATACTTTGAAGCATTTAATAATAACTTAAAATATTATAACTAAATTAATTTGCAAATCATATGTTACTTTAACTATGTAATAGTATCATCTCTGTTAATAAAAACATCCACAACCAAAGAAATATTTTCTAAAATTATGGTTAATGATAATGACATTTTTTTTCCTATAATAATGCAAACTATATATAAGATAATCTATTTAAAATAGAATACTATATCCCACCTGACTGATCAATAATCGACATTCTGCCAGTTCCTTCTCATTGATTTCAGTCTTCTTGTTACAATCAGACTGGAAAATCTCTAATTGGCTACAACGCTATGGAGAATCAAACAGCCAAGGTTAAATATTAAAATAAATACAGTACTTTGTAATATGCAATTCATGTGTACATCAAAATACTATCTCACACATCGCTTATCCTCAGACAATTGTATAATTATCAAATAAGTAAAATTCTATTAACAAGTGAATATTTATTCATCAGTTATTCTTTACATCTTATTTCATTAGACAGTCAAACTGTACAAAACACACAAAAAAAGTTTTATAATATAGGTCTTAAAAATTTTTGTTTTTTTCACTTTAATGACAATTTTAGGCAAATGTTCTTAAACATATTTAGTTAGAAAGACAGATTGTTGAAATGTCAGTCTGAAAAACAAACAAACTTTTTTCCCTTAATATATTAAAAAGACATTAAAAATATAATGCACATATTTGAGCTAAAATTAAATACATTAAAAGCTATAAGGAAATTTTGATTTTAGATTATTAACGTTTTTAAACACTATTTTTGGTAATAAATATTTTAACCCATTAGATTATACCTGAGCTAGTGCCTTCACTTCAGATTTCATCTTGCTGATAAACAAACGAGCAACTGTGAATTCTTCATCAATTTTTCCATTTACATCTGTTAGAGGCTACCAAGAGGAAATAGCAAAATTTAATAGTATTTCTTATAGTCCATAAATTCCAATTTCTAGTAACATAATAATATACCCAAGTACGTTTTTTAAGCTTCTCCTTAAATATCATCAAAGATAACTTTCATCTTCATTACTTTACACTAAAAATTTGAAAAAAATTTTACTTGTGTTAAAATTGTTTTACTATAAATGAAAAATAAACCTCATATTGATAAAAATATTGTTCACATAAAATATATTACCACACGGTTTTATAAGTATAAACCAGTAATACAGAAAATTAATTTGTGTTAATTAGTTTAAGTGTTCAGTTACCCAAATTATATACAACTGTCATTCATACAGCTTTAAAAACCTTCATTACCTCAAACTAAAGAAATGAATTAAATACTATTTACTGTGCATCACATTAAATGCATCTTTAATATAATCCTCAACTTTGCTTTGTTGTAAATTCTCCTTTAGACTTTTAACATTATAGTTATATTAAACAGGTAAGTAATAAATTCATATCTAATAGTTTGAAAAGTTTATTAATCTGATTACCACAGAAATAGCTAATTCTGCAAGCCCAAATAACTCATTTTCACAGTCAAAACATAGAATAAAAGTAGAATAATAAATCTGGAGTAGACATTATGTCTTAGTTTCTTGATAAACACTATCAGAAAATAAAAATTCTTAGCCAACTTACTATCAAGTGTTTTAACACATCGTGATAAAATAAAAATAGTCAAGTAGACAACTTATATACACTACGAGAAAATAAGAAAAGCCAAATAGACAACTTACATCAGTGTCTTAGTACACCATGAAAAAATAAATGTTATTCTACTTCTATAAAGTGTCTTAACAAGACTTGAAATGTATTAAGATTATAGAAGAAAAAAGTGTGCCAGGGAAAAAAAACTTTCTTAAACTTGTCTTGATACACTACAAAATATGCTTGTTAGAAATAACTTATTTGAGTATTTTAACATGCTACAAAAAAGAAACCAAGTTAGTGAATTTGTTTGCTTTGAAACATACTAGCCTGCTTCAAGAGGGTAAGAAACATAAGAAATATAGCTTAATAGTTTGAAGTGTTGCAACGTGAAATAAAAAAAAGGGGAAAAATGTCAGAAAGCCAGCTCATTCTGAAGTGTCTGAACAAGCTGTGAGAAAATGGGTAAACCGCTTGTGTCATTATCTATCAATTTTCAGCACATTCTAACACACCATGTCCTACCTTCGAACATACAGGCTAAGTAGATAAAAAGTGTCAAAGACTTATCCAATTTCTAAATATCCTAACACATTACTGTAGAATGGTAAATACTGCAGATTCATGTTAATGATATATTGTAACATTTAAAAGTGGCCAATTTCTAAATATCCCCACTTTTATATGTTACAACATATCATTAATATGAATCTGCAGTATTTACCATTCTACAGTGATGTGTTACTAATTTCAAAAATCCGAGGCAATGAAATATCCTTTTCTCTTTTAGAAATTCATACTGAAGTAAAAACTTTACTAAATATGTCACCCACAATTCCTTTCTCTAAAATAACATAATCTGATTCCAAACCAATTTGTATGTATGATTGGTTTAACTTAATAAGTACGTCTCCCTGAAATAAAGGTGCTAACACTTCACTAGATATTCCTTTTTTTCAGAAATTGAAAACAAAATACTGTTTTGGGGTTTCAGTAGCCTAGTCTATGTAGTATTAGAGATGTTGATACATTCATGTAATAATTTTCTATGTTAACAGAGATTTAAAAAATTCATTAAACTAGTTTTTTTTATGCTTTCACTACCTTCATGTCCGTAGGTTTTCCACCAATGACATTCCCAATCTCTCCGAGGTCTTTTAACAAGTTGGACAACATCTCTGTGATCCTTCTCTTCTGGTGAACATTTTGGTCCTTTTGCTGTTGCAAGTCATTCTGAGATGCATTTAGCTGGGACTAAACACATGCAAAAACACTCATAACTAAAACTGTACAATGAAGGATAAATATATTAACTAATTATTTGTGCCATTGAAATGCCCACCAAAACTCTGTGATCACAAAAGAATATTAATGACGATCACTCCAGTCACTGTTCAGATTTTCCAGTTTTTGTTTTAATCAAATTCTGAATTAATTGATTATGTATAACATGAACCTCTTCAATAAAATTCTGATTCAAGATCTTACAACTGCAAGTAACAATATATCACATGGCTGGTTTTGAACAGATAGTTATTGTACAATATAATAGATATAAAAGATAATTTACATTTGAGGACAACAATGAAGTACATCATTTGATTCTTTATGTACAACTATATACAGAGGCATGTTATTTCAATATGATGCTGGAGCCATATACGCTGAAGTCACTTACCAACTTTTGGTTTAGTTCTTCACTAAGAGTTTCATAATCTCTATTCTTTATTTCTACTTCGTGTGACTTCTGATCATAGTTGACAGCCAGCTCCTCCAGAGCCTGAAGTACTTCCTTTACCTCCTCCTTGGCTGCCTCATTCTCCTGCTGGATCTTATTCATCTCCTGTTGTAGGTTCTCATAATCTCGGCGAATGGATATGATCAGCTGGAAAAAACAACAACAAAAGACAAAAATCAGTTTAATAAAAATTCAAAAAGCATTACATTCTAAATAAAATAAAGAATACTTTTAGCATATCTTCAATATTAATTCCATCAAATGGTCACATATTAAAGCATCATTACAGATGGAACACTACATTAACACACCTCTCCCTGTTCTAGCATTTGTTCTTTGAAAGATTCAATCAACTGACTCTGACGATCAATTTCATCATCTTTTTCATCCATCTGTGCATATAGGTGTGCTCTATCCTCTTCAAACTTTGCTCTTTCTTCATTGGTCATTGGTTCAGCTGATACCTGAGGTACTAAGTTGGGCAAGCTGACCACAGAAGAAGATTCAGAGAGACTTAAAGTACTGGTCTCCAACTCTTTAGTAGTTAGTTGTTCATCTTGAGGTACTGATTCACCTAGAGAAAGTACAGAATTGTATATTATCCTTATACTCTTGTAAGTAGTGAAAAACCACTTGAAATGAACACTATCTCAAGTGTAGGGAGTGCAATAAATATAATATCTAAACACAAACTTGGGAAATAAAAAATGCATAACTTATAATGCACCCTAGTCTTGTATTATCTTTCACATTTTTTTCTACTAACCATACTAGAACTTTTACAACCAATTCATTTTCTAATATAACCATTTTTCAATGAACTGGCCAAGTTTCTCAACAATACTTATGGCCATATTGAACAAGGAAAGTCATATTCACTTCCACATGCAATTACTATATCTTTAAGTTTTGTGCTACTTTTTGTCTTTCAAAGTCCATTTTTCCTATAATAATGTGTTCTGTTCAGTCTCATTAAACATTCTGTATTCTATGTTAATAAGACTTTCTTCAGCAATAACCAAGCTATTAGATTTCCAATAACTATTCAACTAATGGCCTTTTTCATGAGCTTATCTACCTAACACCATCTTACCAGGATATTCTAGTTCTTATGAAAAAAAAATATTTTTACGAGATTCTAGTAACTATTTATTCTTTTTTATTCCAGGAAACTATTGAACTAAAAGATAACCTTAATCTTATCTAACTAACCATTTCTCCAACGATTAAGTTCTGCTTCAGCTTGTGACAGCTGAATTTTCAACTTAGCATTCCTTTCTTTCTCTTTCTCATATCGCCGCTTCCACTCTTCAGCTGTCAATTCTTCATTCACTACTACAGTATTCTTAACTGTTTTAGCTCTGTAATAAAGTTGTGGATATCAAATACTGACTGACTTAAAATCAAGTTCAAGAATATCTTATAAAACGTTGAAAAGCTTTTTATAACGCTGAGTTTCAACCTTGCCCCAAAAAATAATTAGTTATTTAGCTAGTTCTCATAAATGTTTATCTAAATTCAGAATATATTAGCTCTGTTGATAAACTTGGTTGAATAAAGATAGTTTGTTCTTGCTTCTCACTTGTAACAGTAAGAAAAACAAAAAAAACATTACATAGAATAAAACATGTTACATTACACTTATCTCCCTGTTCAATCCTTTCTTTGAAAGGATTCAATCACCTGACTTTGACAATCAATTTCATTATTTTTTCATTCTGTTATAGATACAAATATGGTCTATCTACAAGCTAAAACTGTCAGATTTCATTTAATAGTGATTTTTAAATTGTCCATGATCTTGACATTCAAACTTTTATTATATATTACGTTATAAGAGCATGTCCAAGAACAATCACATAAGCCTGCATAAATACAACACACCTTTGCATACTCTATAAATGAGTCTGTATACATACTTTTCTATTGTCTGTGTATTTTACCAAATCCAAGGCTAGTTTATTTCCTTGAAAATGTGAAGTCAGAAATACATAAACAAAATTTTCTATTAGTATCAAAATTTTTTTATTATTAACTTCTGAACAATTTATTACTTTATTGAAGAAACTTTGATAGCACAGCAACTTTGTTCTACCACATGTTGAAAGACTAACCACTAATTTCAAAATTAGATCCAGATGAGTAAAAATAGCAATATTATTTACATATTGCATTAAGTAATTGATGTTACAATGTTCTTTGCTGTAATCTTCACACCTTAATATTCATAATAAAAGTAACTCATTTCAATATTTCTAAGAATAATAATAATGAAAAATATGCGTGGTATTCAAGCTTAAACATCACTGTAAATTACTCTGACTATGTTGAAAGTCATAAGTCAGTTTTATAGGATCAGTCCCCAAAGTAATACTTTCCACAGCCACTTTTCTTAGAACAGAAGTTAAATAATTACTGTTGTTAAAACAGCGAGGGAAGACAGTCACTTGCTCTCTATGAACATACACAATTGTAACTGCTGAACACAGAAGGTAACTTTTTACAAACAGTTAATGCACTTAACCAAGCTTGCACATAAAAAAAACAATGAAAGCTATTGGTTATAAGTTGGATTATAAAGCTGAAGGAAGAGGTTAAACAAATCACTAAATAAGAAACAATTTAATCGTTAAAGTTTCGAGCAACCACCCTTCATCAAAATTAAACCTCAATGGTTAGGTCTGACAAAGTGAGGTTGTTTGAAACCTTAACAGCTTGCTCATTATAGACAAAGTGTAAATGAACAATTGGTATAAGAGCTTTATTACCTGAAATCAGTTTAATTTTCATTTCAATATGAGGTATTTCAAGACATCTTTAATCTTATAACTCTCCTAAGCATAGCCAGCCATATGAAGCTAGGTTAAAGTCTTACATATATCTCTCACACATGATATCTAATCTCATTACTCTCCTAAACAAAGCCAGCAATATGAAACTAGGTTAATCTTACATATATCTCTCACACATCATACCTAATCTTATTACTCTCCTAAACATAGCCTAAACTAGAGATACGTTTCTTACCTTCTACCAAATTCTAGAGTTGACTTTGTCTCAGTCTCATTGTAAGAGGCTGGAGAACAACAGATTATAATTGTTGTGCGGGAGTTTCCTCCTAAACTTTCTTGAAGAATTCGAGTAAGCTTGCTGTCACGATATGGGATGTGGCTTTTCTGAATGTAAATCATCACAAAGCATGAGAGAACTTACAGCAAATATAAACAAAGTAAAATATCACACCCAAGCATTTGTCAAAATTCAGTGTTCATAAAAAGATACATGTTTAACATTAAAAAATGTTTGTATGTGAGACTTGCAAATATATTACACCTAATTATGTGATTCAAAATATCAAATCATTTCAGTATCATCTGTCACAAATGAAACAAATTAGCAAAGTTAGAAATTGTTACATTACAAGTTAATGTATAATTATAATAATAAAATGTTACCTTCAAAACACACAATGTTTAATATGCCTAGTAATACAAGTATATTTTATAGTTATAAAATATCCTCTATCATCAGAAACTGTGTCTTAAGAACCATAAGAAACAAAGGCATTTCTTACATTTCCATCAGCTAATGCTGAAATTACATTTCCCAGAGCAGAAAGAGATTTGTTGATGTTCTTAGCTTCATCCAAAACCATTCCTTCAGCCCCAGTTTTACTCACCTGCATAAAACAAAAAGGGTTTTCATTAAAAATAAAGAAATAAAAAAAACCTATTTTAGTACTGTGTTATTTCTATTTTTTCTGTAATTAAAGCTCACTACTTTATAATAATTACTATAATAATTATTTTTAGTACTTTGTTCAAGATCCTTTTTTACGATAAGGAAACAACTTAAAATTGTTGAACTTCATACTAGGTATTATTCTGTATCAACTGTCATACTGTTAGGCCTAATCCCAATTACAGTTCAGAAAGTTCCCATTTGGTCTTAACCCAAACTTACATATAGTAGTGTGCACTATATCTGGATTAAAGACTCTGTAATTATAATGCTAGTTAATTGTGCTAAGTTAGAAAGACTGAAAAGTAAATACATACACATCAGGGGTTTGAATTAAAAAGAGAAAAACCTACTAGTTTCAGTAAGCACTTGAATTTTTTACCCATAACTTTTAAATGCACAGCACATATACATACAAGTTATATGTAAGAGTATTTGTAGGTGTCTACGGTGTGTATTATTCAGTGGCAAGTCATTCCTACTATGCTTCAGCTTCTGACATTAAGTATTACAAAAAGGAATCCAACATCTTCTGAAAAAGGGATCAGAGCAAGATTCCCACCTGGCAGATGCTCTCTCTAACCAAGACCACAACAGTTGCTGTGCATCTCTATCAACAGCCTCCAATAAAGAGATATGTATGTCTGTGTGTGTGGAATTCTGCTTATAAAATTTCAAAGCGTAAAGAGCAACAATAGTAAAAACATTATCATGTGTAATCAGGATGCCACACATTGATTGCACTATGAAACAAAACAACAATCAAAGTATTTTCAGACTATGAGAAAACTCTACAATACTGAAGAATCTGAAATACCATGGCAGAGCTTTTACATACAAACCATTAATCATACTAAAAACATACATTTGTGTGTGCAAGAACCAGAAAGTATAGACCTAGAAAAAGTGGGGAAAATTATTATGTTGAATGAGAGCATCTTCCTTTCCCCCTTCATATGCATCTATATACCGAAACAACCTGAGAATGTATATTCAGAAGCTTGGTTCCAACAGTAAGAGTGTGGACACTTACATTATGGGGTGGGCTGCATATTTTTGATTGAAATTTAATCCACTTATTGCACTGAACAGCTAGTTACAGTAAACAGCGAGACCAGGTTCACATATTATACAGAAATTTTATCTTACTGATAAGATGATCTTTTAAATTCACATTTATTTACACTGCACTGGTTATTACAGACTGATCTCCCAAGCATCAGGAATCCAATCTGTCACTTACCAAGACTTATTTAATTAAAACATTTTGGAATAAGTGAATCACTGTAAGGTGTTCTTGAATAAAACAAAATTGACAGTCTCTTTTATTCAACATCTCTAAAAAAACTAAGTGGTTCTTATTAAGGAATAGTAATCTCCCTGGTGAAACCCTCAAAAATCTTACTGCTCTATTGTCTTGAAGGCTCAAGGTGATTGACATTATATCAAACCCTTAGAGTATTTCAATATTTGTGTCCAGTCCCTGAATGTATGTATTTCTATTTTTACATGCAAATGCAAAAGACTTTGACAAGGCTTTAATATCAATATTGCAATATCTATTTCTATTTCCAAATCAACAAAAGTATTTATAACAGAAGCTAGAGTATTCAATGATTTAGTTTCCAATACAAAAAAGGGGCATTTATTATTTCAATGTTTTAAAGAAATTTTCAGTATTCAAACAAATTTGTTCTTTCCTTTCTGTATATTGTATTTTACACAACATGTGAAAACTGACCAATCAAAAATACACAACTTAAACCATAAAAGGCATCCAACACAATTAAATAATGTTACTTAAAAAAAAACAAAAAACTGTAACTATAACATTAGGTATAGACTAGATAAAAACTTTAGTTTGAAATTGCATTTCTAACACAGCTGTCCAACATTTTACAAGACAGATACTAAGTAAGTTACACTTTCAACACACGCTTACTGTAAGTACAACTATACACTTCATGAAGTATATATCACTCAAATGATAATTTAAACAAAAGCAGTGCTTGTTACTGAAATTAATCAGGAATAAACCTTCAATCTCTTTTTGTGATAAGAATATTTTAACAGTTTATTTTCAACTCGTAATAATCAACAACTAGAATAAAATGCTAATGACAACAGTTACACAAATTACAAGAGTGCAAGAGGAACAAAACAGAAATCTTCTTGTAAATTGCTCATATCTAATTTTAATTGATTTCCAATTCTTTTTATTCAATATTATTTCACACAATATTAAAAAAAAGCCAATTAACAATTGCAAAGTGAAAACTTTTAAGAATCATAAAATAACAAACAATTAGACTATGCTGATTTAGATATCAAGTTACTAAATCATGTAACATCTTCAACAGAACAATGGTGAATGATATACCTGCTGCATCACATATAAGTGCAGAATTAGACTTTTTTTCTAAATCAAGCAATGAAATTTGTAAAATGTTTTTTATACACTTGGTGCTAAAAAGAAGCAGATTTGATGGCTGGTGACTTATTTGTTAATTTTCATGAACAACGTCAAACAAAAATGGTAACGTTGTAGCCTACATGATGACCTAAGTCTAATTATCAATTACTTTCCTTTTTTTATTAGATACTAATTAGCCTCTATCATGTGTTTCAGCTGCTAATCTGCTGCTGTATTTGGGGATATCCTGAAATGGACTGTTTGTGGTGTAGGGACTAAAAGTCAATCTTGGGGTCTTCTTGTCAGGAAGGCTGGAAGATGTGCTATTTATTAACTGGAGCTTCTCCTGTTAAAAGTTCTAATCAACTAAGTATATGAATGGTTTATGGAGGAGTATCCAGTTTTTGCTGACTTCAATAGTAGGTTGATCGAGTGTGTTATCAATTAGTTGTATATAGAATGCTTTATTTTTTATCTTTGTTTTACTCGTGGGTCATTCATATCACATTTTTTGTATTACTTTATTTTATTGTATGGTCTTCTTCTCTTACACAAAGAACTATTGGAGAAAGATCAGTATTACAGAGTTTTTTATGTCTATTATATTTCTGAATTCTAACTCTCTTTTTTTCATTTCTAAATATTGGAGTCCACACTCACAAAAAAATGCTCTAAATGATGTTTTTGATCTCCATTGGATTTTTATATGGATTAATGCGTACTAATTGAGACTGTATTCTGTTTGGCTTCTGAAAACTGTTCCGACTATACGTTGACCTTTGACATATGGGGATATGGCTATATGTATAATGTATCCAAAAATAATGAGATATGAACTACACATACAAGAAGTAAAAGAAGCTTGCTATATCTATCTGAGTGATAAAACAGTCAACCTATCACAGAAGACAGAAAAATCTGGATATTCCATCTGAAACCATTGAGCTCTAATGGTGGAGACCCCAAGTGGTCACGTGAATATCAACATATCAGCCTTTCTTACAGGAAGACCCAGGATCAAATACCAATCCCTATCACAACAAACAGTTATTCTCAAGACTTCTCTGAATACAGAAGCAGATTATCAGCCAAAGAATTGGATGTAAATTAATTAGTATTTAGTAATAATAATAAACAAGTCACTAACTAATAATGAAACTCAGGTGCTTGTATAGGCTGCTAACTCTGACAACAAACAACGTCAAAGATTGAATAAATAACCTCATCTTTTTTTTTAAACCTTAAAACTTACTTTTTCACTTCCAGCTAAATCTACCAAGTACAATTTCCCACTCAGTTTCTTCTGATTTTCCATATTCTCTTGCTTTACATTTATTAGAAATACACTATGACTACGGGAGCTGTGCTCATTCATATCTAAATCATCAAGATAAATAAAAAAAACACACTTAACTTGATTACAGTGAAATGACTTAAGAAACATAATCAATGTTTACAGTTACAGATGGCATTTCTTAAATTAGTGTATGTAATTAAACTACAAACTTCAGTAACTGTTTTAATCGGTAAGTATAAATAAAAAACAAAGTCATTCAATATAACCCTGATCAAAACAAATACAATCGTTTTTTCTCTATATTGTGTTTTAAAATAATAGTCATGTTTTTTTGTATACACTCACTAATAAGTTATGACACATTAAAATATTAAAGCTTCATCTTTCTTGTGCATAGTATATATATATATGTGTGTGTATAAATTTTTAACTCATCAAAAGAGGCATGCATAATGCTAGAGTAGAAGCACACTAAACAATAAATCTATGTTTAAGACATAAGATCTAGTAACTAAAAACTGAAAAAGAAACCCAACTACGAATGTAACTTGCATTTATGCCAATTGTTCAATTATTATGTCATAATAACATAATTTTGCCAAAGTATTCTTTTTAGGAACACAATTTAAATAATGTATGCCGAGATCAGTTGTTCTTTAACAAAAGAAACAATATGTAATATAATTCAGAATATTCTTCTTTCACCAGACAATACTTTGCCAATCTTAACTATTCTAATATAAATAAAATATTTTTGTTCTTGACTTAATAATATTATGAAATATTGTGAAATAAATACAAATACATTTTCTGTACTATAAATACACATATTTTATATTTTCAAAGGAAGATTTGAGCCTCAATAAATAACATACACAAATGCCATCACACATTTTACCTAGGGGACCAGTATTATACATTTTTCTGGACTGATTTTTAGTCCCAATCTGGCCCCAAGTATATTTGAATATTCAAAGAATTGTTTTCTATCATTAAATGATATTCCACACTTAAAATACTTGTAAGAAAATAAAAAGATACAAAAACAGGATTAAACTACAATTAAAAGGTGACACCATGGTTAACTATAGCAAAACAAAGTGTCATTTTTTAATTCTATTTTAATCCCTTTTTAGTTGTTATTTTCTTACAAGAAGTTAATAAATATACATTTTAAATATTTTAATAAAAAAAAACGTACTTGTTACAGCTATGTGTCTGTTTGCTTTTCCTTCATCAATAACTTCCATTACTTCTTCTGGACTAGTCACAAACCTTTCTGTTGCACCCTAATGGTGAACACAAAAAAACTTTAATACTTCACAATATGACATTCAAAAACCTATATATACTTAAATCCATCCATTTAGTAAGCTATATGTTGTTATTAAGACAATTACAAATAATGTGAATTATAGAATGATGATCATTGTAGCTTTCATAAACTGTAAAAAACTAATTAAAACAAAAAAAATTCTTAAGATATCATTCTGTTTACTTATGGCTATAAACATCTTTGGTAAAAATTTAATTTTATCATGTATTTATAAAACTTAAAGGTTGAACTGTGGAGTTTATATTTGATATCATAAAATATTTCTAATAGAAATAAAAGAGGACAAAAGCTTTTGAATTATAAAACACAAAGCTAGAAATAAAATATTCATTAGAATATAATTAATATGTACATGTTTATAAGAATCTACAAAGTAAATTGCTAATTAGATTAGTTTAAGAAACTGCCTACAGGAAGTACAAACTGGGGCAATAATTAAACAGTACTTGCTTTACAAGTTACCACACTATCAATTATAAATAATCACCATGTCTGTACACCCATTACATTTGATTACTATGATGGGTGCCAACTACAAGTGGTTGAACTGCCTTTTTTCAATATACAAGAAATAAATTTGTTTTTGTGATATATTTTTGCACCTTTGTATTTTTTTCATTATTCAACATTTATATTTACATTCAGCTGCAGAAAACATTTAATGTTACTTGTTTATTTGTTTTTGAATTTTTGCAAAGCTACTGAGGGTTATGTCGGACATCCCTAACTCTGAAGTGATGAACTAGAGGAAAGGCAGCTAGTAACCCTGGCAATGGGAGAGTTTTTTTTTTTAAATCTATAAACATGGCATTGGGAGGGATATTTATCTATAAATACAACAGTGAAAGAGTTAACAATTAGTGTTAAACCACAATAAATAGAAAAACTATTTTTCACCCATTCATGTCTCCTCCCCAGTGTCGTCTAATACCAGCACTACCACCACAAACATTGTACTTCTCAGAACATACATCAAGACAGCAGGAAATTAACAACCAAAATTTAGATATAAACAAATCAACAAATAGTACCAAATAAAAAAAGAAAATTCCACCAATTGGTAACCAAACATAGATGTCTTGCATAGGCTACTAGTCATAACAATGATTGTTATCTGATTACTACAGCCTTACCATAAATACACACGTACAAGTTCAGAAAATGTTCGAAGCAAAAAAAATGAAAAGGAAAAAACAAAGCATAATTTGAGTTAGCACATGAAGTTGAAGTATAACAGTACAGAGTCATGAAATTAATTTTATTCATGGTTATTAGTCAATAAAGAAGGTAATTATAAATGAGTATTTTATTGTTCTCACTCAAAACAATCAAAAAGATATTCAAAGAGTAGTTCAGAAGATAAATACTTCTGATTAAATTACAAGTTTTTCTTGGTATCTAATATTTATAGCTTCTTCTTGTTATCCTAGAAGTTATAAGACTGTTTAATAAGATATCACATAAAATATCTCTGTTCATTCTAATAATAAAGTCAACCTTACCTTTACATAAGGAACTCTGTTTTTGTCTTCATGGACTGATAAGTTTGTTTTTGACACTGAAGAATAAAATGAATGCATCGATTTAACCTCCATCAAGAAAATTATATGGAATACATGTCGTGTTTAAATCCGTTTATACAGTTATGTTAATAAAAAGAACATCTTTCCATAAAAAATAAAGACATTTTGTATTAAAACAATTTTTAACAAGCAAATCACATGACAACTACAACCAATATAAAGTTTTGATAGAACAAATGTATCAGAACTACATTCTGACAATGTCTGACTGCTTTTGGGAAAGGTATGCAAAAGTGCATTCCAAGGCAAGATATTCATACATTCACAATATAACGACATCCCTTGCACTTAATAGCATTAGAAAACAAAAATGTGAATCAACTTGGTGCACCAGGACCATCCAGAAAGAGACCTGTAACAAGTTGTACCCTACCCATAGTAAGCAAAGTGTGGCATCTTGTGACAGATGAGAATCCAAGAACACAAAAGTTACTGGAGGGGAGGAGCCATTCACGTAACCCTAGATCACAGTGTACAACATAATCAAGAAGGATTTTTGTGTGGAAAAGTGACACAAGTCACATATACCCAAGTTGCTTCCATGACCTACATGAAGAATGAAATAGATTTTCAGGCTATTCCATACAAAGGACTGTCATATAAATCAAGTAACTAGTCAGCCATAGTATCTATAGATTTTTTTACATCAGATTGTTGAAACAGATGCTGGTACACCATTATTCTTATACATTAGATGGCCTATGGAAAGCATGTAGGGAGCAATGTCATAATTTTAAATGACAGCCTTATGACAGAACCTTTGACAATGGAAACTACACTGCAGAGCTACTGTTAAGATGCATTGCCATCAGATAGAGCATGATTGGATGTGGTAACATGGAGTACAATAATATTTTGAATCTCCAAAATCATTCTAATATAGCATACTCAACCTCTGTACACATACACACACATATATATATATATACACACACACACACACACACATATATTCAAACACACACATACACATGCAATTTTTACACATATGTATATACGTGTGTATGTAAAGCATACAAGACAAGATGATTCTAGTCATGAAGCTGTTAAAATATTACTTTTGGAACATAGCTAATAATAAAGATTTACACAAATAATGCAAAAAATCACCATAAAGGTTGTTAATGATAAACATTCAATACACAAAATGAACAGACCTATATTAGAAACTACATAAGAATTATTTTTAAAATATATATAAAAAAGTTTTGTCCCTATATTAAGGATTTTTTTCAAAATCACAAAAACATTGGTATTTGTTTTTTAAGACTCATAACATAGGTAAATTAATATTTAGTATTATGGACAGACTTTTCTCTACGTTAAAAAATGCCAAAATTAATATGAAATATAAACACGTGGTCTCAACTTACCATCTAAAAGATCTCTGATCTTGTCAAGGTAAATTTCAAAGTAAGATACCTAAGTAAATGAATCATTATCAATGACCATAGTGAAAATACTATTAGAAATCACTAACTCCAAAATCATTTTTATCAATTAACAAAACACTTTTAAAATTAGTTTTTATCATGTGACAAAAACTTTTAAGTAACATATCTGGATTATACATTTACATAACCAGTCAACTACTACAGTATACATATCAAATAAGTATGTTTAAAAAAAAACAACTAAAAATGAACATCTTAATAAAATAAATAAACAATGATAAATGAGAACATGTAAATTTCTTTACAATATTGTACATTTGATAGCAATGTTTTTTTGCAAGACTATCTATCTATCAATCCATTGCAAAATCTGTGGTCATGAAGCAAATAAAATATAGTAAAAATGAGCATTGTATGCATTTAAAGAAAACTTCATTTGATTTTGAATTGATTACTTTATTTTCTGGGAACTAACCAGCTTTCATTGGCCAAAGATCTGTTTGACAGTTTCATCTGAGGTATGAAGAGAAGATAGCTATTAATGTTTAGATTAGTAACTTTTCTTTTGATTCAGTTATACAAAGGTATGAGCATAAGATAGTTATCAATGTTTGGATTACTAACTTTTCTTTTTATTCAGTTAATGCAATTAGGATGTAAAAAAGCATAATATTTGACAATATACGGTGCTACTATAGCATGCAGTGTACAAAGATATTTACACTATAGCGTGCGGTTCACACAGATACTATCATCATCACCATTTTAATGATTCACTAAAACTTAATTTCTTGCTAAATAATTTATATCTATCCACGTTTTTGTTCAGCAAATAATAACAATAATAATTCAATAAATTATGTGTTCCAAAAGAGTACCTTAAATTTAGGTTATAATTGTGCTAGTTTTGATTGTTGGAACTTATTTAATTCCAATTATATTTGCCCCCAAAATATTATGTGATGGTATTTTGTACTTTTTTAGTTTAAAAGGATTATTATAATAACTGGTGCCAATTGCAAATAAACAAAAGTAAAAATGGTGAAGATGATGACATGCTACAGTAGCACCCAATATACTTTAAAATTTCCTAGCTGTGTGCATGTGCACTCAAGTCAGAAGTGTGTCAGTTAATAAAAAACTTTCTATTAATTATTTAATACTTATGTTTATGAGCAACATTACAGTATGAATTGTAACATACTTTTGTTACTTGAATATAATTTGTTAATTTAACTTATAAGGACGAAATAAATTATAAATTACTTTTAAATACACAGTTTAGCAAGAGTAGTCAAACTAGCCTTACCTTAATATGGAACTCTACATTTTCATCCATGGAATAAATATAATTAAATATATCATTCACAATACGTGGAATTACTCCTTGCTTAATTGGGTCATCCAGAATACCCTGTAACAAATACACACACCACTTTATCTCTTTCATATCCCAGCCATTGAAGTTAAAAATTGTTGAGATTACAACAGAAACTAAAGTTTTGAAGTACTTAAAAACACATTCAACGTCAAAACGTATAAAAATACTCTTACAGCTATCACAAACCAACAAGATACAATTTAAAATGAAAATTATCTCAAAGACAAAAATCAAAACTTTGCAAGACAATGTAATGTTCTGAAACTCAAATGTTACTTCTTGCCTGATACAAGTTTACAACTTACACGAGTCAGGTACACTATACACCATTATTTTACCTGAAAGAAGTAGGATTTTGCTGTTGTATATACCTGAACTAAGAAATATAAGTATACTTTATACATTTTATTTACCATTGAAATCACCTGTTTATAAAAATACTTTTAGAAGAAATATTTTCATTTATTGTTTCCAAGATTTCATGACAAATTTCATCGCTGGATAGATGTATCCACTGACTTTGAAAAC